GGAAACTGTACAGCGGAAAGATGTACAGCGGCGCGCGATTGCCGATAAAGCGGCGTAAATTTTTAGGATCGTTCGCCGGTAGAAGGCGAGGGAGGGAGGGAGGGAGGGGTTGCAGACACGCGGTAGGGTAAGGTCTTTACTTTAGATGCAATTTTGTTTTTTAGATCGCGAACGAGATAAACGAGTATATGTGCGCCTGTTCAAGAGTATGTACGACATTTTTTCTCGGAGTTATAAAGTACTATATATATATGGGGAATTTGGATGGATCGATTTTACATATCGGGCAGCTTTGTTGAGGTTTAATTTGATTGAGAGAACGGTGAGTTTATATACTTAGCGTATATTATATCGTTTTGTTATCTTGATTTATGACGTTAGTATTGTTCGTAGAAACGTTTTAGATAAAAGTTGAAGGGTTTCGAGAAAGATATATATAGAGGTATTATTAATTCTTTCATAGAGAGTCGCGTAAAAATAATGCGAAGATCAGATATGTCTTTTTTAAATAGGATTATATATTTTTTTATGGATAGATGCAAGATGTCATTCTCTATAAAAAACTGGTAAACCATTCTTAGAAAAAAGTTATTATTTTATGAGATAATAAAAAATAATTAAATATCTTATAAATTAATAACTTTTCGTTGTAGGTGGTTTAGTAATTTTATATAGAGAATGTAGAACTGCATCGAATAATGGATTAAAAAATGTATGATTCCATTCAAAAAAATAACGAAGATTTTCGTATTTTTTTTATGTATTCACTAATTAAAAAATTAATAGTACAAGAATATAGTCTTTCTAACACCATTTAACTTTTATCTAAAACATTTTTTTATATTATCAAAAATAATTGAGATTTACAGTTGACAAGTCTATCCTGTACATTCCTGAACCAATTGAAGATAAAAGAATTGTAAAAAAATTGGTAAAAAGAAGGAGGAGGTAAGTATAAGAGGTAAGTATACTTAGAATTAAGTAAACTGTGAAAAAAACTGAAAAAATTCATCAAAAAAAAAAAAAAGCTGGAGAAGGTAAGTATATAAGGTAAGTATTTAAGGTAAGTATGAAACTTCTTTTTAAATTGTATTTTTCTAATGAAAAATTGTAATTTTTAGGCAGAATTTTTGAGAATTGGAATTTTACGAAAAATTTCGCGTGCCACTTCTTCACGTATCATAT